TGCTCTGGGCACTGTGCTTTGTGCTTAGAGGATCAAAGCTAGGGTTCCAATAAGATTCCCTGCTACATTATCCCCAAGCCCTCTTGAGCCAAGGCTGGAATGAATCTCCTAAAGCAATGTCAGAATAAGGAAATTGAGGCTAAGATAGGGTCTGTGAGTTGCATTAGGTCGTCCGGAAAATCCAAAAGGTAGTGAATGAATGAATTAGAAAGAACATATTAAGCGTTTATTCTGGGCTAAGCACTACTGCAAGAGTTTTTAACCTTTTGTCGTGTCATGGACCCTTTTCTCAGAGTAATATTTTTAAATGTACAAAACAAAATACAAAGGATGACGAAGGAAAGCAAGTATAGTGATTTTTTTTGGGGGGGGGGATCAGGAACCCCAGGTTAAGAACCACTGCACTAGGGTGGTAGTAGATTCATAATTTGAAGCCACACCTTCTAATTATGAATCGTCCCTTTTCCTCTATGGCTCGAAACAAGGGCTGAAAGCGGGATGCCAGACCTAGCCTCCTGGGCAGTTCTGGAGGAGATAAGACAGAGAGCTCCAGGCGAGTGTCAGGAACTTAGACCAAAGTTCCCGTTTCCCAATATTTGGCCATTGACCCCAAGCTATTCCTAACGCCGAGGGAGCAAACTTTCCACTCCTTGCGCCCTCTGGAGAGCCCACGAACCCACCTGAGGGCTCCATGCCGCTGCCAGGGCTTCTCTTGGAGCTGAGCGCAGCGCAGCGCAGCGCAGAGGTGCGCCGGAGCGGTGTTTAGGGAGCGAGCACCTGCGCTGTCTCTCCCGGAGTCGTGGGAACCGTGGGAGTGGACTGCGCGGCCGGCCTGGAGAGCTGTTCAGCGCGCTCAGTGGCGATGCGCTCCTCCACCGGCGCCGCCGGGGGGCCCCTGGCCGGCCTCTGGCTTCTCCGGAAGCCCAGCCCCAGCGCTCCGGCCCCCCTCAGATCCCCGGGCGCCTCTTTCTTTGCAGAAGTGAAACTGCCACCGACCCTGACCCGGCATCTTACACCTCCCACTCAAAGCTCCTTCCTCCTTCTCTCTTCCTTCCACAGGTTTCTCCTTTCTCTGTTTTACTCTTCTCCTGCGCTTGGGTCACCGCTCTATCTTAATTAATCTCTCCTTTGCCTTCTGCCCCAACAAGGTGCGGTTGAAGTAGTGCTCAACTGGGGAGTCGTGGGACCTGAGCTCGATTTCAGACTGCCATTTATTACTTGTGTTACCTTGGGCAAGTCATTCATTCATTCGGGCCTCAGTTTCATTATCTTAAAAAAAATGGGGCTAGTTGGAATAGGCCCCTTTCAATTCTACAACCTATCAATTTGCTGTGGCTACAAAGACCTTCAATGATTAGTCCCTGCCCTCAAAGAACTTACATTTTATCAGGGATGACAGAATGTATGCATTTGCGGAGGGGGCTAGGGACTGAGCCTGTGATTTCATTGATCTAAGGTACTCCTAGATGAAGAATTTCTCTCTACCAGTGCAGGCACGCATCTCCTATGCAACTCAGTCTTAGAGGATTGCCTGGAACAGTTAGAGGTTAAGGGACTTGGCCAGGATTAGTCCCACACAGGCCTTACTGGTTCTGAGGCTAGCTCCTCTCTCCCCAATGAAAGTTGCCTTTCTTACTTATATGTGTGTATATAAAATAAAAACAAGCTCTTGGAGTTGTAAATTGGAACAGCTATACTAGAAAGCAATTTGGAATTATGCACAGTTACTAAAGTATACATACCCCTTGACTCAGTGATATCACTACTAGGCCGATAACCTCAAAGAGATCAAAGAATGAGGAAAATAATAGAGGTGGACAAAATATTGAAAGCTATTCTTTTTGTGGGGACAAAGAATTGGAAACTTAAAAGCGTGCCCATCATTGGCAGAATGGCTGAACAAATTATGGCATATGACTATAATAGAATATTATTGTTCTGTAAGAAATGATGAAAGAGAAACGGGGAAAGACTTGCATCAACTGATGAGGAGGAAAACAAGCCTAATCAACAGAACAAATGATGCTATGATAACATTGTAAAGCAAAGAACTTTGAAGGTCTTAAGAAGTGGGATCAATTCAATGACTACCCATGATTCCAGAGGACTGATGATGAAAAATTTACCTTCCTCCTGGCAGAGAAATGATGGAATAAATAGATAGAGTGAGACATACACTTTTGGAAATGGTCAATATTGGAATTTGTTTTGCTGGACTATGTCTATTGGTTATAAGGGCTTTGTCTTTTCTTTCTTTTCTGGTAGGGTGGGAAGGAGAGAATATAAGTGATTGGTAATTGAGAAAATGTTTTTTAAAAGAAAAAAAATAACTCAACAAACATTTCTTAAGCACCTACTATGGCAAGGCATTATATTAGTTGCTTATACATATGTATGTATGTATGTGTGTATATATATATACACACACACACATATATACACCACTGATATATACATATACACATGCATACACACATACACATGTGTATTGTGTACATGTACATATATGTATATGTATATATACATATACGTGTATGCACATGTGTATATATGTGTATATACACATGCGCACACACACACAAAAACAAACTTTAACCTGATCCATTGAGTCAACGGCATAGGGACTCCTCTATGAATGCCACTTATACCTGCAACTTAGAAAATAAGAAAGTGAGAGTTAGAAGCCTTCATTTTAGAGATGAGATGACAAGCCAGGAAAGGATAAATTGTGCAGTTAGGAAGTGTCTCAAGCAGGAATCCAATTCAGTTTTCCTCACTCCACATCCCAGTCATTCTCCACTATACAACCCTGCCTCCTTACCTGAGTCTTCAGTCTTAAAGACGATATTCATTACAGAGTTGCCAAGACCATTGTGAGTTTAAGTGAAGTCAGAACTTGAATCTTCCTGACTTGATGAAATGTCTCTCCCTCCACTAGGCACTCTGCCTCCATCCATTAGATAGCACCTGCTAGCTAAGTCAAACACGAAACATTCCCTGCACTGCCCCCAAAGAGCTTACATTATTTTAATTCTCATGTGGAGATTATTTTAGGCAACTTGTCCTGTGTCAGAATTAATCTCAACCAGCATTAGTTATTGTTAAAAATGAATAACCTCCTTGCTTAATGCATGTGGTATAATGGAAATAGCATAGCACACTGCCTTTGAAGTTAGAGGATCTGGGTTCAAATCCCAAGTTTGCCACCTGTGTGACCTTGGGCAATTCATCTGCCTTTTCTTAACCTCAGTCACTTCATCTACGAAATGAGAGTATTGGTCCAGAAGATATTTGAGGTACGTCTAGCATCTCAAATATCCTGTGGTCCTAACTCAAAAGAAGGCTGGTATGAGGAAACGGCTTAAAAAAAAAAACAAAAAACTAAAGCCAGCTCCTGCTGGAGGTTGACCTTGGGCTCCTGCCTAGGATGCTGAGATGGGGGAATGATTATTTTCCTGCAGGTTCTTGGGGCAGTCCTGCCAAGGTTGGACTATTAGAGGAGGATGAAGGTGATAAACTGGTTGCAGTGAAAATACCACAACAACCAAGTGCAAACCATCTAAGATAATATTCATTTCTGAGTTTAATTTGGATTTCAACATTAGTCCAAAATATGCTTTACTCTTGCTGAAGCAGTACCAAAAACAAGTCAAGAAATTTCAAGGAATCAACTGTTTCAGATATTAGGTACTCTAAAGGAACTGAAAGAAGACATGATTTCAGTTAAAGAAACATGTAAGGAAATAAGGGGAAATTACACAGAAATGAATATCATCATAGATAAAATACTGGTGGAAACAGAAAAAAAAAATGAGACATGATGCAGTAGAACAAAAAAAAATTGGAGAACAAACCCAAGTGGAAGAACAAGCCTGGAATGTAACGGATCTAGAAAACCAATTGATAGCAGTACAGGAAAAAGTGACCAACCCTCAGGGGACCAAAACTTCATAATAATTAGCTCTCCAGAGGGAAAGGAGAAGGAAAAGGACTTGAAGAAAGAACTCAAGAAAATTTCCCGGAATTAATAACCACTGCAATAAGAAAAATTCAAAATCCTAACAAGAAGAAACCTAAAATTCAAGTCTCTGAGGTGCCTCAAACTCCAAAAACTACAAGAGATAACAAAAATCACCTGAACTTAAAAAAAAGAACAAATAATACATCAGAAAGCATCAGTGAGCATTTCATAAGACTTTACAGGTAAACAACAAAAGAATTGGACAATTGGTCAAAAATATGCACTTAAAACTAAGAGATATAGGCTTGGTTCCTAGAATTAACTTTCCAGCAAACCTTACTCTTCTTTTAGAAGGCTGAAGAATAACACTTGAAAACTTACAACCCTTCAAATAATTCTGTGACAAAGGAATTCAGCCAAGAAGAACTAAGTTCAGAGAGGTGAAGCAATGTTTCCTTTAGGTGATTAAGTAGCTAAAGATATTTAACAAAAGGTTCTTAAAACATATTGGTAACTATAGATGTGATTATAAAGCAAAATTTACAAACCTCTAAAAGAGAAATTTAATAGTATTGTATCAGCTTCAATTCAGTTCAGTAAACCTTAAATTCCTACTTTTTACAGAAACCCACATGCTAGATGAGATAGGTTCCCCCTTGAGATTAAAATCTGGTGAAAATAACATCATAATAATTTTGAAATTAAGAAAAGTGGATAAAAGATTTAAAAAGTTAAGGGCAAAGGATGGAGGGGAGGGATATATTTAGGAAATACGTGAAGTAAGAACAAAAAAAAACATGTAAATTTTTAAACAGAGGCTAAGGAAAGAAAGAATTTTCAAAGTGACACCTTTTTCATGGTGTTGAAATTGATGGTAAGTCAGGGTGGAGAGAGAAATAAGCCAAATCTGACAAATGTAACACTAAATACTACGGATTCAATGACTAGTTGCCTATGGAAAATACATCTAAAACAAAAATATACGAAGATTAAGACTATATAAACTTAACTAAAATTTATCATGAAGTGACCAGTTCAAAAAACAGTAACAATGATTACAGCAGATAAATCTAAAATGGAAAAGTTAAGAAAAAAAAGAAGAGATATTATAGCCAAAAGGAATAGTAAATTAAAAAAAAATCTACAATGTTAAGTTTTTATACCCTAAATAACAAAGTAAACTGAAAAACCAAAAAATCTGAATAAAAACCACAGTTTCTATGTGTGTATTTCTTTGTTATTTAATAATACGGAATGTCCACACTTATAAAGACATAACAAATCAGACAAGTTTATTGAGTAAATAGGAATTCTTATGTCTAAAGAGAGAAATGTGGAAAAAACACATTGTTCTTAAGTGTATATGTACCATTTGCAAAGATTTTTTTGTGTACATAGACAAGGAAGCTCTGGTTAAATTTGAAAAGGCTCCCTACTTGTTTACTTACTCCATACATACTCCAGACAACAATAAAATACACTGAGACTCCAGTAGCAACATATAGCTATCAAGTGTTGTAGTTGGGACTCAAAGCCAGTTGAAGTCAAGTCTAATACTCTTGTAACAACTTTAGAATTGCACCCTTTTGAAATATTATGTATAACACTAGAGTTGAGAGACATCTAAGAGTTTTTAATTAAACTCAAATGAGGAAACTGAGGCCAGAAGAGAATTGTGGCTATTATAGCTAGTACTCATATAGCACTTTAAGGTTTGCAAAGCACTTTTGCATGTTATCCCAATGATCTCCACAATAACACCATGAAGTAGTGCTATTATTTCCATTTTACAGATAATGACATTGAGGCAGGCAGAGGCTAAGTGACTTGTTCAGGGTTACATAATTAATAAGTATCTAAGGCTGAATTTGAACTCAGGTCTTCCTGACT